ATCAAACCAATACAAGTCCCTCTGTGTGCTTTCATTGCCTCCAAGCATCAGGCTGGCCAGGAGATCCAGGAAAAAGGGATGGTGGCACCAGGGATGGGCACGGGGCAATGCTGCAGCCTGGGACACAGGTGCTGGCCAGGATGTTCCTGTTGGCTGCCATCCAGAGATGGGCAGGTCCTGCTTGTCACTGCAGGTGCACAATCAGCCTGACCAAAACTTTGATGCAACCTGTGGACTGCTCCCCATCACTGACAGGCACCAGGGTGAGGAGTCAACCCCAAAACCTGCCTGGCTGCGGGCTGTGGGAGCCCACAGGGCTGCAGCCCCAGTGCTTTGCTCACAGCCTGCACGTACCAAGCTGGTGACTAAAGCCTGGATCAAAGCGCCCAAATGAAGGAGCACAGTTCACAGCCACCCTTTCGTTCCAGGCTGCTTTTAATTAGGGCTGATCCTCCCGCCCACGGCTCCCTGGAGTCCTGCCATCCCACAGGGTCCCAATCCCACCTGGCAGGTGGATGCTGGGTCCCAGTATGATGCCACAGCAGGAGAGATTTTTTGGCAGCTGGAAACCTCCCTGGCCAGGCAGCACGAGAGCTGTCAGAACAGCTGAGCTATGGACTCCAGAGCTCCCTTCCTAACGCTGCTCCTTCCCAAATTACACCAGGAAAACACCACTTGGCAGTCACACACAATGCAATCCTGCAGGCTCAAGAGCGCATTGGATTTTTAAGCTTTTTGTTTAAGAAAAGCAAAAACTGGAAGCAGAAATGGACAAGTCTTTCCTCCTGCTAGGCTGCCAAGCAAGCACCTGCTGTGGGATGGTGATTTCCTACTGCCCACACACGGCTTCTCCGAGGGAGACAACTACATCACCCTGACACAACACATGGAAAAGCATTTTCATGGAAAGCAGGTGACCTTCGTGTCACCCACAAGGACCTGGGATCACAGTAGGGTCAGCAACTTATGTCTGTAAGCACAGACATCACCCGGGCCCTCACAGGGGAAAAGGTGACAGCGCTCTGGATTCTGGTACAGAATCCTCAGGCAGCAGAGAAGATGTGCCAGCAGCATCTCTGTGACACAGAGATGAGCAGGGGATGTGCCACCAGCACCCCTGTGGCACAAAGATGAGCAGGGGATGTGCCACCAGCACCCCTGTGACACAGAGATGAGCAGGGGATGTGCCACCAGCACCCCTGTGGCACAGAGGCGACCGGCGGCCGGCTGGGCAGCTGCTATATTTAGAGGTAAAAGGCAGATCAATACCCACTGAACAGTTCTGCTCTCACTGAAGCACCACTACAGGAAACCACACCGGGATAAAGCTCCTTTAGGACAGTTTTTAGCAGTTGCTGGAAACAAGGTCAGTTCTGGGCAGTGAGTGTGACCATCAGCCAGCGAGCCTGGGGTCGGAGAGCGAAAAGCTCTAACAGAGAGCAACCACCTCTTTGCCCTGTCCATGTCTCCGCTCACAGCATCCCTGTGACTGCGCAGATTTCCAGAGCACAGGTCCCAGTGAAAAGCCCGAAATGCCCTGGAAGGGCGGAGGGAGGAGGGCCCCGCTCCTGCCCGGCCGGCACGGGCAGCCCCCGGGCGCACGGGGCAGCGCTGCCGCCGTGATCGTTTATCAGCGGTGCCCAGTGGGACGAGTGAAGGAGACGCGTCCAGAGGGAACCGGAATTGCCGGTTTTCTCGTGTTGCTCCCTAAACCCAGCAAGCTCCGTTTCCTACCCAGCGCTGTGACCCTGCGAGGCCTGAAATTCCCACCTGCCTTCGCTGGCGCTCTCCGGAGCCAAACCGGCCCAGAGGCTAAGGAAGGAACCGCAAAGCAAAGGGGCAAAGGAAAAATATCTGAGATGAATACACAGCCTGCAAAAGCAGAGGAGTCAGAAGAGGCATGCACTGTTATTTCTGCTGGGGCAGCAGCGAGCCCATCACTGTCCATCCCTCTGCCCATCCCTGCCCACGCTAAGTACTTCATTTCCCACCAGCCATATGCCAGCCCCATCAGTGCCCGACCACTGCCCACCCTTGGGGGCCACAAGACTACAAAAACCTCGGCCAAGCCGGACACGATGGGGCACAAACATCTCTGGGCTTTGTTTCCAGTCTGCCACCCTCCGTGGGACCAAACACCCCGATCCCACAGGGTGACCCCGCGGGTGACCCGGAGCGGCGGGGCAGGGGTGAATCAGCCCCGGTGCGAAACATTCCCCGGTGTCGTTGGGGCCCGGCAGGGATGCGGAGATGCCCATTCCCGGGGCAGGGGGCGCGGGGCTGCCGCGGAGCCCCCGGGCTCAGCCGTACTCCCACCGACACCATAAAACTTTCCCTGGTGCGCTGCCGGCCGTGTTTACCTGCGAGAAGGCCCGGGAGATGCGGGGGGGCGCAGCGCCGGCGCGGGGCCCGGCTGCCCGCGGGGGCGGCGGCGCACGGCGGGGCCGCGGCCGCGGGGACGGGCGCGGGGGCGGCGGGACGGGCGAGTGCCCACACGGGACCGTCCCGCGGCCGCGCCGGGAGGAAGCGGTGGCGCAGGTGGGGGTGGGGGAGCGCGCGCCGCGCCGGCACCGGGGACGGACGGGCGGGCGGACACGGGCACGGGCAGAGGGACGGCGGCAGCGCTGTCCCACCGGCGCTTCCCCGGAGCACGGCGGAGACCCGCGCCCCCCATCCCGTGTCATCCCATCGCCCGAGAAGCCCCCGTGCTCAGGGCGCCCTGAGGCGATGCCCCACGGAAAGGGCCGGCCAGCCTCGTCCCGGAGCCGGGAGCAGGACCAGGACTAAAACCGGGACCGTAACCGCGGCCGGTCCCGCGGCCCCGCCGCCCCCCTCCCGCCGTCCTTGCCTGGCTCTTGTCGAACTGCTCCCGCTCCGCCTCCAGGCTGTGCCCGCCGCGGCGGCTCAGCACCCGCGCCGGCACGCTCTTGATGCTGTTCATGGTGGGAGCTCCCCGCTCCGGTACCCGCGTTCCGGTACACGCGTTCCGGTATCCGCGCTCGGGGCTCCGCGCTCCGGGCAGGAGCGACCGGCGCCGCCCGCCCCCCGCCCCTCACGGCGCGCACTGCGCCGCGCGCCGCCGCGCCCCTGGCGGCCGCGCCGGGAACTGCAGCGCCGCTCCCCCCGCGGGCAGGTGGGACCGCGCAGCGCCGGGGGGGACACGGGGAGGGGACACGGACACGGAGCGGGGGACGCGGAGCGGGGGACACGGTCACGGAGCGGGGGACACGTCCCTTAGCGGCCCCCGCCGGGCACCAGACACCGAGGTGATTCCCCAGCTCAGAAAACACCAGGAACGGCGGTCACTGCCAGCACGACCGTCCCTAATCAGCGCTCATCTTCACCCTCTCCCACTGCACCTGCACACAAACACACGTGCAGCTCGTTCTGAGCCCCGGAGCTCCGACACCAATTCCCGTTACCAAAGTCAATGACCGGAGCTCGCATCCACCCTGCGGAAAGGCTGCGGCTGAACAGAAGCTTTGTTGTCTTTAAATAATAATTCAGTCCAAGGATACAATAGCGGAGGGCTCCCTGGAGTATTTGAGCTGCTTCCAGAAATAAGGCACCGAGTTTGAAGTGTTTCCATTCGAGCATCAGAGTGTGGTCAATAATGCAGTTGGGTTTTAAGTCACTTAGTGCTGAATAAATTAACACAGTTATTCCCCTTCTTCCCATTCCACAAATCCAGGGCAGCCCAACACAAAATCCTAAGGGTTTGCAGATCCTCAGTTGAGATCCTCAATCGCTTAAGCTCAGTTTTCTATATTGATTTTAAAGTCATCATTTTAAACTCACAGGAGGTTTAAACTCAGTGAGTTCATCCAATAACCTCAAATATATTTAAACACACCTGTTTCTTGGAAGTTGCACCCATGTCTCTGTGAAGCTGCTGGACAGCTTCAGGGTGAGCATCATAGCATTGTTATCATTGGCTTTTTAGGGGGAATTCTTGTCATACCCAGAGCAGGAGCTTGTGAGGATGGAACCTGAGAAGGCTCTGTGCAGGTAGGTAGAGGAATAAATGCACTGTAAAAACTTGAGGAAACTTGGAAAGAGCTGGAGCAGCTGAGCTCCCCTCTGTGGGTAATGCTGGCAAGCAGGAAGGGAAAGAGTCTGGCGAACAGCAGCTCTCATCAGAATTGACCACCTAATTCCAGGGCCATTAATACCTGCAGGAAAGGCTGTCACTGGAGTAATTAAAGAGAAAGCAGAAAATGAAATGAAAGAGTTAACGAGGGGAATCCACTGAGTATTTGTGTTCCTCTGCAATAATTGGTGGCAGTGGATGGAGCAGAAACTCCCACCCTTGGCTGCCCCCGAACAGGAAAAATGCTGGCACAGGGGTGTGGGAGGGGCACTGGTATCCCAAAGTGCTCCCAACCTACACAGGACTGGGCAGCCTACTCCTGTCTGTGCCGAGAAGTGTCAGAAATCAAGTGCTAAACGTGTTAAATGGGCAAGAGAGACATAGCAAAGTATCACCTTCATCAGCTTATTTGATCTCTTAGTTAAAAAATAAGTTCAAATTGTGGCAACAGGACATCTTGCCCCATCAGCAAAGATAAATCCAGTTTAAATGCTAAAAAAAGGTCACATCATACTTGGTTACCTTTACAGTGCAAACACACCTGATCCCATAAACTTTTGTTGGAAGAACCAGCTCCTGAGTGTGGAAAGTTGTTCTGCCCATCTTGTGGGTGACAGCTCTCCCATTTCAGCAACAGCGGAGGCAGTTCCTGCTTAGAACACTAATTGGGAACTTCCTATAAACATTATTCATCTCTCTCTACAAGGCAAGAAATCCAGAACAAAAACAATATGCTAAAAAAAAGAAAGGAGAATGCTTGGCTGTGTCATACTCTATAAATATTTCTGAGCCACCATAAAAAAATAAAAAGAAAAATAGTTCCTATGTTGTAACAATTACACACTTCAGATCCTTAAAAAACAAGCTAGTGTTTAACCTGAGCTCTCAGCTATAAAAATAGCTTTGTTAATCTTGGCGTAATTCTGTGTTTTATTTCAAGATAAAATACATTCCTGCAGAGTCACATCTTCTTGCCACTTGTGAGTCTTTCAAACATTCAAGAGGACCACAGAAAAAAATGAGGTAACTTTCCATCATAGCTGCCGGGTCAATGATCTCTGGTCCTCAGAATTACCTCTCTGATGGAAACAATTTCTTCCTCTGCAGAAAATGGAAAAGATTTTTATTAAAAAGCATTTTCTCTGAAATATCTGAAGCAACCACACTTCTGTGAATTTACTACACACATTTTCACACTGCAAACAGAGTAAGAACACAGAGTAAAAATATAAAGAGGAGAAGGTAAACAAAGTACTTCACAGAAAGGCAACAGTCCCAGGGCCACCACTGGGGTATTGGGAAATAAAACCTTTCCAGTTGGCTTTGAGGAAAGGAATGATATTTGTGCCCCAGGCCAGCCACTGAGTCACCATTTATGAGCAGTGGCACATGCTGCTGTGTCCAAAACTGAATATAGCCTTGTACTCACTGCTTTCCTCCTGAGTTCTTCAGCTCCCCTCCACCTAACCTCTCTCTAGAGGCAAAAAAACTGACTGATGAGAATGGCTAAATCATTGGCAGCTAGGGAGGAAATGGCCTTAATGTTTGTCAGTGCACCTACCCTCAAGTGAGTTTCAAAGCAATTTAAAACCAAACAAACACAACCAAAATCAATCATTTCTGTACATGAAACTGCACAAATGTTTAGTTATTTCTGGATCTGCTCTGCTTCAGATCTAACTGATCACAGTGATTCAGTGCCTTTTAACACAGAAAGAAAATTAGAATTATGCATTAGCCAGTGACTTGGAGAGCCACTCACTTTTGTCATGGATCTACAGTGCATTGTGGTGTGTTTGTTCCACTGGCTCTTTCTCACTCGAGGCAGATGTGATTATTTCTGTAGGCTCAGCGTGCTCTCCCCACTCTGCTGCCTCAGCACGGGGCTCAGCACTTTTGGGGATTTGCTCCTGAAGCTTTGTAACATCAGTGGTTTCAGGATGCAAGTCACAGTGCTGGCTTCAACCTGTAAAACCTCCAGCTGCTTTTACCTCAGGGCTCTTTTTAGGAAAAGAAGAGCTCTCTCTGTGCACAGGAACATTACAGCAGAGGAAGGTTTGGCATTCCAGCGACTCAGCATCCATCTCCTCCAAGTGCCCCATCAGCTGCACTCTGGGCTCTGAGAGAAGACTCAGTGTCTCCAGGCTTAATGCAGCACCAGCTTAATGCAAACCAGCCTGACTCCCCAGGGCACAGAGGGGTTTGGCTCCACAGGGCACAAACAGCTCAGGGACTACAGCTGGAATATCTAAGAGAGAACTGAGCACCAGCTCCCCCCTGGATCAAGGCTGATCCACACAGGAAACCTGATGTCACACAGTGTCACAGCCCAGCTGGCTGTGGGGTAACCTCCCTTTGCAGGCACGAGCTTGGGTTGTGTCAGCACTGGAAGATTTCTCTTTTTTTGCCAGGTTTTCTCCTCATTGTTGCTGGTTCTTATTCAGTTTCATGTGGTGTTCAGGACTTTAGCCATATCTGGTTACTCTTTTGTCCTCAGAACCAGACAAGGTGGTGCCTACTGCAAGCATCCAATCCACAATAGGAGAACAAATAATCAGAGAGTGAGAAATTTCCTGATTCAAAAAAGAAAAAAACCAATCTGCTGTGGGCAAGGCTACTTTGGATATTCTGAAACAGCTTTATTCAATACATTCTACTTTTGGGGCTCTGAGCCCAGGAACAGTGTCCTAAAACAGCCCTTGGCCTTGGCACTGGAAAAAACTTCCCAATCTCTCATTCAACAATGTTCACATCCTTGATCCTGTTATCTGTAACACACAGAAGGGTTTTAACTACAATAAGGAGAGTGCAGATACTGGGGAATGAAGCTGTGAGATCTGACTGCCCCAAGTATGAGGAACATGCTTGAGAAAAGTTTAATTATTTGACTAAAGGAACTACTTGCTGACTTAATATCTGTTTGCTGTTACAGTACTCACAAGAGCCTTATTGGAAATGCTCTTAGAATCCTGTGCCAGGCCCATCTCCAAAATCCATAAAGTGTTTTATTACTGCAGGTGCATTTATAAAGAGGGAAGCAAATAAAAAAAGATCAAGCTGAAAACACCTTTATGCTCAGGGAACATCACAGAGAAAAAAAGGAAGCTTAACATCTCTTTTCTCCTGCAGCAGATAACTGGCTTCTGTGAAGAGTTCCTGCAAGTTCTGTTGTTTCTATTGTAATGTAAAAACACTACATGGAAATCAAAGGACTCAGAGAATAAGATTTTCAGAGCTGCCAGGTTCAAGCTGGTGAGCAGCAGGGGTACACTTCTTAATTTCCCCTTCTCCTCCCCCCACCCCCAGCAGGGTACAGAATCCAACATGTACCAATTCCCCCTGATTAAATTCTAAAGTCTGTATGTATCTCATATTTATTATGTTCTAAAGCTCAGTTTAGAACAGCCCCAGGTAAGCCTGGATTTAAGCAGAGGTTAGCTGGCCTGCATAAATTAACTCAAACATGCTTGACGGGTTTTTGCCCAGAACTGCTCTGAAAGTAGATCAAAGCTCCACAGATGTGGCTCAGGATCTGCTCCCGCCACTACACACGAGTCTGCTTCATTTTCTATCCACTAAAGCACCCGTGCTGAAGGAGAAGCCAATTTCCAAGCTCAAAAATGCAGCATCAGATTCTAAAGCAGAGTCATGGGCAGCCAGAGTAGCTGAGCTGTGATGTGCCAAGCAGTGAGCAGGAGCCAGACAGCTGATGGGGCTGGGCAAGAGCCACAAGCAAGCACTGTGTGCAGGGAGCTTTTCAGGAATCCTCCTACTCAGGAGTCTTTGCAAAAGACTAAACTGCTGCTGTCTTTGCCACTGAATGAAATCCTGCAGAGGAACTTCTGAACAAAATATCCTTTCAGTTTATGCAAACGCTGGCACACAACCCTTACACTCAGGCTCAGCACAGCAAAGGGTTTATGGTTCTGAATGTTATAAAAATGGCTTTGTCTGCTCCTTACAGCAACGTTGTTCTGGTCAAGTTCATCTAAGGCTAAAAGGAGTGCAACTTTTTAGAGGGAGGTGATATGTGTGAGGATGAAGATGAGGGTTCAGCACTGCTCTGAAACCAGGAGCCTAAACCCTCCCTTTGGGATATACAGCAGCACAAACGTGCTCATTTCTAGGGACAAAAGGTACAATGTCCTTGTCAAACAAGGTAGAAATTCTTATGGCTATTTATCCAGCAAACAAGTGACCCTTTCTCTGATTACATCTACTGCCCAAATACTCAACAGGAACTTTATCAGCACTTGTGCTCATAAAATAAACTGCCATGACAGCTACATACAGGTTCTCTTCTTTGACCACTGAATATATTCTCTGACCCTGCAATGAAGGAGCTAGAACTACTAACCCACAACAACTCTGCATTTATTTAAACCAAGCTTCTGGTTTAAATTCACACCCAAAGTATCCTGTATACCACCTATTCCCTATACTGCCCTCCTTTCCATGAATATAATAATAAACCAATTCTGACTGTGAGTCTCTGGGACAGCAGAGCAGTGAATGTGTGCTGAGCCTGAGAAATCATCTCATTGGCTTCAAGTGAGGAAAAAAAACAGTATTAACTTTTTTCTAGCCCTCCTACAGCTTGCCCCAAAATGACTTCTGCCTTCCATCTGCTCAGACACATGCAGGAGTCAAATCCTGTCATGACCTTGAGCAGCCAAACAGAATCCTATAAAAAATTCAAGCACTAGGGCATGCAGGAGCTGTCTCTTCATAACCAATATCCCCCTCATGCTTTGCTAATGCAGTGCAAGCCAAGCATAAGGGCAAGGATGTTCCCAATCAGTATTCCTGAGCACCTCACCCTTTTCCTGGGAGAGCAATCTGTACCTTATTCATGTTGTTGGTGTTGGGAATGGAGGGAGGGCTTGTGTGGAGGAGGCTGAGCTCCAGATCAGCCAGCATCTGTCGGGACTGGGCCAACGAGCGCTCCAGCTTCCAGAACAGCGAACTGGTGTCCTGCAGGACACAGAGAGGGAGCCAAAGTCATGGAAGGATCTTTTCTTTTTTTTTTTTTTTTTTTTTTTGGAGGATTTGAAAGAATTATAATGCACCAAGAATCAGCATTTTGATTTTGAAATGTTTCTGTTCAAAATACTGCAAAGTAACAGACTCTGTCTAACTGCTGGTGTTTCTGATAAACACAGAGCTCTTTCCTAGTGGCATTTTAAACAGATTTCCACATGCAGGTACATGGAGCACTCACAAGAGAGGTAATTCAAGGATAAAGGAGAGAATAAGGACATGAGAAAGAGGGAAGACCAAGCAGAGCAGGAAAGAAACAATGTCCAACAGCTTCTGATAACTGCATCCACCTGTGCTCAGATATTTAGTGGAATTACCAATTAGCCAGCATCCATTTTCCTGAAGCTTTTCTTTCCAAATCCTTATTAATTTTTAAAAAACTCATTTATACTTACGCTGTCCAAGACCTATTGAGGCAACAAGGAGTTATTTTAAAAATAATATGTTACCACTTTTGTCATAAGGCTGCTGTCTCATCATTTGAGTCCCCAGTTCTTCCATGCCAGGAGACATTTGCTTTCCTACCATCAGTCATAATTCCCCATAATTCCCCTTAAAATCAGTCAAGAACATTGTGCAATAAGATACTGACTGTGTTGATGAAGTATCTCTTTGTTGGTTTAGTCACTGCTAGGTCACTGATGTCCAGAGGGGAATCTTCACCAGACAATTTCCCAGAACTTTGAGTCATGTCGTTCTTCTGAGTGGATGCTGAGAGAGAAGCCAAGTGGAGGGAATTCATATCCATGTTTCCTTCACTGTTAAAAAAAAAAATTAAGACATTGGCAGAAACAGCATCACCATCCTTTTTAAACGTCCAAGGGAAAATCGTGGCACAACATAAATAACTGTGGGCCCTGAGCCAAGGAAACCAAGAAGCTTGGGAGAGTACCCTGTTCCTCAGAGCGTTCCCATGTTTAACAGCTTCCCTAGATCAGTTTCATCCTCTGAGGACGAGAGTTTGACATTCAACCAGTGTCAATCAGCTCCACGACCATGAGTTTGAGTGTGAATTTAACCTTGCAAAGAGCACACGAAAGGCAATACTTTTTTCTTCCCAATACTCTGCTACTTGCTCCTCTCTCACACCCAAATCCTTTTCTGGTTCTAATTAACCATTAGGCAAATTAATATTTGTAGGTGTACCCTTCAAGGGAATTTCACAGTGTTTTACAGTCATCATCTCACTTCAGAGATTACAGACGAGCTTTCCCAAAAAGGCTTGGGTTTATTTATTTTTAAATACAGGAGAAAATCACATTCATCAACTTCTCAACACAACAGAAACAGAGTGCTAGCCTTGCCTGAACTGGCAAATAACAAAAAAAAGATGTGTATTTTAAAGAATATACCACCTTTGAATTGATGACATTTCATTAGATATTCTTTAGATAGTTATTTTGGTATAACAATGCTTTCCATACCTGGCAAGACTGTTAAAATAAGTGTATTTTTAACTGACATTCAATCTAGGAAAAAGCCCCCACGAGAGTTGCCAGCTCATGAGTGTCTGCTTTGTCCTATTTCACTTCTCCCATAAAACACTGGGATAGAGCAGGTTCTCTTTTAAGACAGAAAAGCTCATGTTTGTGTTTCTGACAAGGAAAGGTTTTGTGGAGACGTGAGGGAACAAGCAGCCTGGAACAGGGATGTGAGGAGATGAGATGAGATGAGATGAGCAGGGCCTGCCCTGGAAAACACACAGGTTGGAAAGGAAGGGGACACAGGTTTGATTTTGAGGCAGGGAAATGGCCCAGGAATGGCTGGCTTAGTCCCAGCCTGAGCAGACTCAACAAATACCTGCTGATGCTCCATCTGTAAAATGAGAATTGAGATAAAAATCCAAAGGCAGCAAACGTTGGCCCAACATAAAGGAAGTCACCAAGTCAGAGCACCCAGAAATGATGCCTGCACTCTGGGATTTCACAATCCTCTCTGCCATTGGGGAAGGTATTTGACTGTTAACAGCCTCCTTGTTGGCTGTTCCAGAACTCAGGAACTCATGGCAAAAATATTTGCTGGGCTGACAGGGAGGTGCCAGCACCCTTCCCTAAACACAAACTACATCATCAGCACTCTGAAAGCAGCAATGGAAAACTGGAGGATCCAGATTCAAGTCCCAGGAGGAATGTTGTGTTTGGTCTCTGCCATTAATCCCTTCACAGAAGCAATGCTCCTGCCTTCCTCCCATTTACGGGCGAGGATTTATTGCCTGGCAAATCCGAGTCAGCAGAGGCTGGAGAGCAGACAGGCAGGGATTTGCACTGAGTCAATCCATCTCCAATTAGCAGGGCCCCAGGACCAAACGTGGGCATCAAGAAAACTGGAGAGCTCAGCAGCAAATCCCAAATGGGTAGCACAGCCCCCCTAACTGGAGGAGATCTGTTCTAGCTGCACTGCCCAGGTTGAATTTGTTCCTTTTCCCTTCAAATTCACTCAAGGACAAGACAAATAGGGCAAGACAAAAAGTGAAAGCAGCTTTCATGATCCAGTCTCAAAAGGGATTTGGAGGGATGGCAGTGTGTCATTGGTGCTGCTGGGGGAGTCGATAAGAAAGGTCAGGGTAGGCAGAAGGGGAGTGGAGTCTTTTCAATGATTTATAGGCAGTGGAAACTAGAGAGAGCCCACACGGCGTGTGAAGCTCAGCTAAGGCACATGGGAATGTGCCAGGCCAGCATTATTTTTCAGTGGCTGCCCATTCACCTTGTTTCTGAACAGGTCTGTCTCACTGCACCAACAACTTCTACAATATTTCTGTTTCAAAAGCCACACAGAATGAAAGCATCCATACATCAGATCTTTCCATTCCATAAGATTAATCTGTTTGGATGCTGGGCAGGCTTGCTGGCAAACACTGTGAGCAGGTTTAAACAGCTGTTCATTTACTGTGCCTGTCAAACCACCAGCTGGAAGGCTCCTCTCCTCTGGCTAAAGAGCAGCTATGAAATCGCTGTGAAACTTCAGAAATCCTTCTAAAATACAGCTGGTAAATCAATTTTTTGTAAGGAAATAGAGGGACCAACAGAACAAATCCACAGCAAGTCTCAGCTCTGAATGCCTTTGCTTATGCAGGCACAAAGCCACTTCTGTAAATGCAGAGCAGGTTTTATCTCGGAGACATTCCAACATCATTGAGGCACCTGAGTCTTCTTCTGACACTTCTCAGCATTAGAAACCTCATCCTGCTCATCCCCAACCACATGTCCTTTTCCTCTCACAGCACAAACAGAAGGACAGAGTCCCATGAACTGGAAAGTGGACAGATTGCTGTCCTTTAAATCTTGCCATCTCATTTCTTGCCCTGACAGAGGCAGCAGCCCGTGCTCATAGCTGTGTCCTACATTCTTGCCCAGCCAAGGTCTGATTTCTCAATAGAAATAACACAAGTCACTAAAGCATCACACAAAACCTGGATCTGCTTGTTGCCTCACAGAAACATCACTGTACAAATCCAGCTCTGGTCAGTACATATTTGACCCATATGAGTTACAAGCAACACCTGGGATTTCAAAAAATCATAAGATTTTCTCAATTAGTTTATCTGGCTAAGTTATATGGTATTGCAGCTTCTCCTGCCCAGACACCTCTTGGAGATAAGAGAGGAGAAAAAATAAATGCATAAAAATAGAATCATGATACTTTAAGAGCTATTTTTATTTTAAATTTGTTACTTTTCGGGTTGATAGACTAAGTTTAAAACAGCAGTTACTTTAAACATAGCTTGAGATAATACTGAGAGCTTATACACCTAAGTTTCTACATACATCTATTTTATGCTTATTTTTTAAAGGCAACAAACTCATAACCTTTTTGAGCAGGTACATTTCATCTCTTGTGCAGTCTGGAAGCAGTTGTGATCTTTTCCATGGCAGGTACTTCCATCTCTCTTCTTGGGTTTGAAAATCTCCAGCCATTCCAGATCTGAAAGCGGCTTCCACCGTTCTTTATTTGTGATGAAATTATTAATACCAGCATCAGATTCAGACTTGCACGACACAGGAGACTCTCTGCTTTTTTGGGCAGACTCAATGTCAGATCTCTCTTCATTATCAGTTTTGTCAGATGTGATATTGTTCTGGATCAAAGTGCTTTGCAAATCTACACGAGATTTGATGTTTAGCCAATGATCATATGAAGGCAAAGACACGTCAAAGGATTTTTGGTCTTTGCTTTTCACTCCATTCTCTCCAATTTCCCTGTTTCTCAATGGCCTTGTGTTGTTTGCCTCACGACATTTTTCACTGTCTAGCTCATCAAAGCTTGATGCAACATCCTGCTTTTCTCCTTCTTCCGCAGGGACGGCCAAGCCTTTCTCAGCTTTTTGACACTGGTTTAAGAACGCTGAGGTAGTTTCCTCCAAGTCTGAAGCATTCAGTAATTGTCTATTATCTACTTCACACATCTCAGGGGTGGGTTTTACCCTACTTGCTGGAACTGGTGCAGTTCCACACTCCTCGCACATCCTGTGGCTGCCCTCAGTCCTACCCTTGTGTGTCTTGCTGGGGATTTCAGAGGCAGAGAATGTGGCCCCTGTGCTACAACGGCACGACAAAAACAAGTCAGAAACGCTGCAGGTAAAGAGCAACCCCAAGTGCACTCCTACAGCTCTACAGAACCCAGGCTGCTGCTGCCACGGTTCTGCAGCAGCTCACACACCACCAGGCAGCTGTATCCTGCCAAAACCCCACAGAAAATCTGCCCAGATTTGGCTGTTACTTTTCAAAATTGGTCTGAGAGTTCCCTCATGTTTTATACAGTACGGTGATTCTGTCTGAACTTCCAGGGTGTGCACCAATTCTCTAACTTTACTTCCTAAAATAAACTTTGCTTTTTAAACCAAAGTAGTAGGGAGCCAGATTAACACCTCTACCACCAGACTAGTTCACTTTCTAAAAAAATCATGAGCTGTCTGGCCTGCTACAACACTTGGTCTGTGACTGATGTTCATGGTCTCTCCTGACCAAATAAAACACAAGGTACTTGACAGCTCCACTGGATGTTTGTGGTCAAGTCCAGCAAAGCCATCCTGACCCAGCACACGCCCCTGTTAGGATGTTAGTTGGGGCTGAACAGTGAAATCTCTCTGTGAGGACAACCTATTTTAGAAAAAAAAATTAAAACTGTCTTTACCTCCTTTCACTTGGTGCCTTTTCATGCTTCTGCATGGAGTCCTGAGAGCTTTCCAAGTTGACATGAAGGAAGTGTAAGTCTCGCTGCTGTTTTACACAGACCTGTTAGAGGCAGTGAGGGGTATTAGTGAATGCCTGGGTGCAGGAATATCATCAGCAGGTAGTACCACAGTATTTGTCTTCAAAAATCATCCTCAAAATGCTTTTACAAACCAATGCCTGTAGTCAAACTATTGTCAAAGACTTCCAAATCTAAGAGGACATCTCTGCATGTATTTAGGAAAATAACATTTTGCAGTAATAAACAGGATTTCTATTAGAAGATTAGAATATTCTTCTAAGATGTAAACACACTGAACAATAAATAAAATACTATTACTGTTACCTGATATTTAATACATTTTATTACATTGTTCACAGCTACAGAATTACAGGATATGATGATGATCATGGGATTTGGCTTTCACTACAGGGGATTTTTTGCAAAGCTAATGGAGAAGGTAACTATCCATCAATTACTTGAAATTAAAAACAGGGAACATGCATTGAGAACCCCAGCTGAGAACAGGTGAATACACAGGGTTTAAGTTGTGAAAAACAGATCTGCCAGGACACTGTACCCCTTATGCTGCTGAGTTCACCTTGGGCAGGTGTGCAATCCCAGTGCTGCTGCCCCTTCACACGACTTCCCAGGCCTGGGACCACCATGGGCTTTTCAGCTCAACCCCAAATGAAATAAATCAACATTCTACAGGGATCCCAGAAGGGCACAAACAGATTGTTTTTTTTCTTAATCAATAATATCTAACTTTTTTACACTGTTCCATACAGGTCTGATGTTACTGAAAATGCTCCTCTAACCTCTGACCTAACAATCAGGGCTGTACCTGTCGCAAACTGGACAATTCCTTTTCAATCCGCATTTGCTTAGACTTGGTAAACTGATAAAGTTGATCCTTTCTCTGTGCTTCCTCCACTGTTTCAAAAGATAATAATTGTTTTTTTATTACTTCAGGTGAATAGAAACAAAGCAAATGCATTGCTAATGCTGTGTCTGTAGCAGTAGAAGGCGGTACCAAAACAAAATAAAAGCACTTTCTTAAGATCAACGGGACCTGTTTCTCCTCCAGATAAAAAGAGTACAAAAACCACAAGAAAACAAAAAAAATCAAATCTTTTCCTTGGACTTTTCCTCAGCACCTGGCTTCATTTCACTGTGCTTCACTGACTGATCAATGTTTTCAGAAAGGAAAAGAGAAAAGGAAAAAGGGAAAGGGGAAAAGAGGAAAGCATAAAGGAAGTTCTGATAATTAATTCTAATTCATGCAAGTCGAGGGAAGCGCAGCAAAACAATTCCCAATTCTATTGGTTTTAAAATAATGAGACATGGGATCAATATCCCATGTCAAAGGTAATAGCAAACTAAAAATGACAGGCAAGGAAATTATCTCATAGCAGAAGACACCTTTGGCCACGTAATCTTTCAAGGTTTCTGAGGCTGTCCCCAAGAATATTGCATGACCTTTCCTATCCACTGCAGCACAAGATGTTTTTCCACTCAAAACCAAAGGTATCGTGGAGATCAAAATGCAGTTTTCTAAGGCCTGCATATTAAACCAGCCTAAACCAAACCCATCACCTAAAGAAAGCAACAGGGAAGAGGAAGTCTCAACATTTGCAGGAGAGAATCCCCCGAGTCACTTACTCCTCCCCGTGTAATCACTTTGGTGAACTTTGTGCTTTCACAAGGTTTTATAAAGTGTCCCTGCAGAAGGCCCAGATATTGCTTCCATAGAAGAATGGCACACAAGGGATTTACTTTTATTAAACTGCAAGGAAGGCAGGTAACAAGCTGCCTCCTTCACAAATATCAGTGAATTGCTGCCCAGAAGTCTCTGAGCCACTGAAAGCCAAGTCATGAAAGGCCAACTGCCCACCCTCACCTGCCAGTATCAGCTCACTCCTCAAGCAGCCATTTTCATGTTTCAGGTGACTGATTTCTTCCTGGTGCTTGCTGCTTTCTTTCATCTTTTCAGAGAGGACATCTGTAGAACAAAATGTAGCATTTCCCAGAGTGAAAAGGAATCATGCTGGCCTACACTAAATTAGGTGTCCAGCAGAAACATTTACCTTTCATCTTATTTACTTGAAACACGACATCATTCAGTGTCAGCTTGAGGTCTTGCTGCTCTCTGTTGCGACTGAATTCCTCAAGCTTTGCAGCACGCAATGCATTCTCCAGTGTTTTAAATTTAGATGTAACCTCAGTAATCTGATCAGTTGTTTCAATTAAGGCTTTGTCCTGAAATAGGAAACACCATGAATTCTTATTTTTCACATCATGGATGGGTTTTGACAAAACAACAGTATATTTTTCTGTAGTGGTTAAAGTGATCCACAGTTTTACTTCCGAGCTTTTGAGGAAAAAATCCACCAAATTAAATCCTGGAAACAAGCTTTTTAATGAAAATAAACCAGTTGATTGCTGACCCCTTTTCCCTTCTCAAACAAACCTAAGAATTAACCACAAGTGAGATCACCAGTGACAGAGCCTTGTGGCACAGTCACCAACAGCTGCACTACAGTTTGACCACATTTAGTGCCACATTTAGCTGACAGATGTTACCTTCAGCTGAAGCATCCTGAGAAGCTCCTGTTCCCTCGCTTGCAGCTGGCCTGTTTTAGCAGACAGTTCCAAAACTGAGCAGTGGAGACTCTGATTTTTCTCCTAGTGAACAGAAATAAGTGGCAGCTATTACTTCAGTGATACAAAGTCATTATTTTTTCCCAGTAAATGCACCCACAACGTTATTTAAACATTGTGAATGGCAACGTGGGATCCTGAGCAAACTGGAGAGAAGAGGACTGGAGTAAAAATTGTTCCCCAATTTGTTTGTGATCAAGGGTCTTAAACCCTGCTTGTCACAGTTCTGGAATGTTACAGCTCATCACAAGCATCCTGTAAATGCATGGACTACAAAACCAGACCATTACTCAACCCCTACCTCCAGAGCCTGGCAGTGAACAGATGAATCTGTTATTTTTTGAGTGAGCTCTTTAAACTTCTCTTGTGTGTTTTCAAGTGTTATCTTACTATCATTATGCTGGGATTCTAGTAACTTCAACTTTTTGGTCAATGATTTTATAACTGCATTTCTCTCGTTCAGCTCACCTGAAAAGGAAGGAGACAAAGTTATAGATGAGAAAACAACTCAGAGGTTGTCATGCAATTTCTCAAATCTCATAAATAATTTAACCCAGAGTGTTAAAATCACACAATTCAGACCTGGATGCTTATGTTGCACACTCTGAAGCAGGATTCCCTGGCTACCCAGGTCAGATGGAACAGGAACTGCATGGTGAGGTCTGGACTGAGACTGTTCAGAGCCACCAGGTGTTTTGCTGGGTGGTTTGTCTTTATTCAGAGCTGTGCAGCAGAACCTCAGGGCACAGACAGAGCTCTGTAACTTGCCAGCAGGTTGCAAATTTTTGTCTTCCCCCACATTTATTTAATCAGATTATTTTTTTAAAAATTCACAGAAGCAATTTACACATTCAGATGAGAAAGAGTTGTGTGATCATCACACCCCCTTCAAGATCAGATCACTTCAGCACTAGTGTGTAAGTTTAGATCTCAAAGAAAGACAATAAAATTTAAGGCTGAAGGGTAGGAAATGCTTCCTTATATGATGCAAAACTGTTATTGAGGGCTTGAAGCACTTGAACATACTTTTAAGACAAAGATGTCATTATTTTCTTCACCACACTTACTAGTTAATAAGCTGCATCGTTCTGCTAAACTCAGTATTTTTTGGCGATCATCTTCCCAGGCCTGAATATGTCTCTCATGCACTGCCACCATGTCATTGAGCTCCCTGTCACGATCTTTGAGCTCTGAAATTAAAAGCTTGAGTTCCTGTCTCTGCCTCCTAATGATGCTGTTCTTGCGATCGGGGCTAAATGCCTACAAAGGTGAGACAGGGAATGCATTTCAACACAAGGAAGTGACAAATTCTCTCATCATAAACTCGAGGGGTTTATTTTTAGTTGAGCTATGTTTATATTATAAATAGAGACCATTCCAAGAAGTTCCTTTTGCTCGTGGCCTTTCAGTGAATCCCTTCGCAGAACAAGGTGGTACCACCTGTGGTCCATGACTCAAACCCTCAGCAGCACAATGAGCGCCCTCCTACCCAAAATAGAGCTGATGATGGTTAGCGGCGCTCTCATGTTTTACCTGGGGCGAAGCAGAACGCAGCAGTGATGAACTCATAGGGGACTGGGGGCCAGAGCTCTGCCAGGCATTAGTGGAACCGGGAACGCTTCAAGGCTGTCACGCTCATGAGCACGGAGACTCCCCCGTTACTCGGCGACCCTGAGGGGGCACACGCGGCGTTGAGGCGGGCGGGCCGGGGGCGGCCCTGAGGCCTCCCGCAGGCCTGAGGGGGGGCCCTGAGGTACCTACCAGCCCCGGGGAGCTGCCCCCGTTCCCGGGCAGGCTCGCAGGGCTCCCCCGCTGTCCCCGCCACCCTTCCTAAGCCCAAGGGCTTCCCCTGCCCTCCGTGCAGTCACCCCCTGCCCGTTATCCCCCGTTACCCCCGGCCGCCCCCGACCCACCGGCCCCGGCCGCCGTTGGAGGAAGCTCCGCCCCCTCAGCGAAGGGGCCGCGGGTTCGAGACCCGGGGCTCCCGGTTCGACTCCTCCTGCCACGGGTTCGAATCCCGCGGCCGCCTCACCCCGGGGCTCTGCTGGAGCTGCTAGAAAAATGTGATCATTAATAATGTTGTTAATACGGGATGAGTAAGAATCAGGCCGCAATGTTAAGGGTTGGAGGCAACTTCCCTGTCCAGTGTTAAATGGGAGGGCTATAGAGATTCCGGCAGCTCTTGAGATTCCAACCACAGGGATGGAGTTCTCGCTCCAGATACAACACATGGTTTATAAATAGAAATCACCGAAAAAAGCAACTTTACAGGAAGAGAACAGAGTGTCTGACACATCACCCCCTTGGCTTTCAGCTCCCTTTCTGCAGTGACAGGAGCACGTCACTTCCAGGACTCTGCCACCAGGGAGCATTTATTGTTATTAAATGGAACAGTGAAACAAAAAGCACCAAATCGATGCTCCAGGCTGGTTTTGGGAGTACAGACAGCAGAGCTGGCACCCCACCCCACCTGCTAACACGGCCTGTGGAATAGTGCTCACTATTAATTTGTGTTTATTACTGCCATTCTTGAATGATCAGCAGCTTAAAAGCATAAAGCCATTACAATTGCCTCACCCAGAAGCCCAGCAGGGTTAAGAGATCTTTGGAATGATGAAAATATGATAAATTTCTAAGTGATATTCACACATTTCTCAGTGTTACCACTTAAAATAATTCAGTTGGCAGGGATGTAGAATGATCACTTCAGCCCAGCTCAGGATTCACTGTTCTTTCATTGCTAAAAAACCTTTACAATGTTTGTTCCATTCTGATTTCTAAAATTCTCTGCAGGTAAATGAGAGGTAAAAGTGTCTACATCAGCCACACGCCTTATTCAGTTAAGCTCAGCAGAAAGGACAGCAGATGAAAAATTTTAATGCCTTAAATTCTTATTGTCCCATAAGACAGGTAGAGGAAAGTAGATGTAAAAAACCTCAGAAACTATTCAGTGAGGAACAGTAATTTTATTTAATCTACTTCATGCGTAAGCATGGTAGAACCCCCAATTTAACTTTGGCAAATATCACAAAAAAAACCCCAAAACAAAAAAAACCAAGCAGCCTATACAGAACAGTGAGAATGCCAAGGATACGGGTTCTCCACAGTTTCACTGCAGAGCAAATGGATTTAGAAGCCTCACTTTTGCTATATCATTTATAACCATATAATTAAATAAAGGTAGTCTTCCACTATCACTTCTTGACTTCTCCAAGATCTTCAATGCTGTCATCATCCACCTAGGGAGAAAAAGCCAAAACACAGCAAATTGAGTATTTTCTTTTTACATGCCTCCTTCAATGTGCACCCCTGTGAATGTAGTGAAGTGTGGGAGAAGTGAACAGCACCATTCCAAATCCCCTGCTGCAAATCCTGCGTGAGTGACATGTGCTTACAGGACACAGCTGAGCCTGCAGGGCTGGGAATAAAGACAGGCCTATGGAGTTAAACCATAAAGAATTCCACTTGGGAAATGCCAGCACAAGGCAGAGTCAGAGAAAGCCCTTGCAAGTACAGCTCTCAGCCTTAAATTTCAGTCCAAGCCACCCTAGCCGATCTCTTCTGAAGCACAAATGTGTGGGGCTTGGGGCTTTTTTTTTTTAATTTTGCAATATTTTAAGAGGTGTTGAAATATAAGATTACAATGTAAGAATACTTAGACACACACTGTTAAGAAATGGTCACAAAGAAGCCACAGATATTTGACAGGTGGATTTATTCTGACATGCCTCCCTTACTGTAGGGTGGGAATGCAACAACTGCTCTTTTATTTTTGTGCACCAATCTGTGCTGCCAAAGATGAAACCCTTTCCCAAAACCATTGGAAAGTCACAGGCTAGTGTGGAAAAGTGTGTGTCTTCCCGACAGAAAGAAGAGTTTATTACCTCAGGCCACTTCTCCTGGATGACATCAATGATGTCATCTGTAAAGTCCCCCTGAATGATGATTTCATCTTCTCCTGTTACTGAGGCACCGCAGGAAAATTTCTGAGCAAAAAACCTTTGTGCTTCCTTAAGATCGATTTCTGCCAAGGGGAAAATGGACAATTTAAGTAGAGTTGTTGTCATAAAAATATTTTCTCAAGATCAAAGCCAAATTCTTGTTTTAACTTGAAAAGGTAGTGGCACTTTACAGTTGAAGCTTTGTTAGTGTTTCCATTGAAAGCCAAGTCTGTTGTTTACACCCAAAACATCTGACTCTACAGATCTACAAATGTTTCAAGGTAGGAATTGCTCAATGTTCTGTTGATGTGGGTCTGGACCCTGTTTCAAAAGATCTGCAGCCCTCTTTGTCTGAAAAATCGTGGCAGTAAGTACCTTAATGATTTATCCCTGTGGGAAGTCAGTGTACCTTTGACATGCTTTAAGAGGAACTTTCATCTCATTGCTGGAAGCAGATTCCCCACAGGAATACAACCAGAAGAAATACCATGAGGTTAAAGGCAGGCACATCCAATAGCAGGAAAACCCAAACTCACCAAACGTGGCGAGGCCACACACTCTCGTCACGTATTTTTTCTTTGCTCTGGGAATTTTAGCTATAGTAACTTTCTGTGGTACAGTCTTCTTCTTCTGTTTTATCTGACCTCTCCCACCTTTAAAACAGAGCATAAGGTTACATGATTAATTAAATTATGTCATAGATCATCAAAGGAAAAAGCATACAAGGTCAGATTTTGTCCCTATAAACAAAGAAATTGTTACTTCCCCAACGCTGTTGGTAAACAAAAATGAATTTTGCACATTGTCTCAGGTTTATTGTTATTTAAGAAAGATCTCATGTCATCAAAGTCCAGTATTATGGGAAATAACAATATATACATGTCAAATGTGCATTCAAGCACAGGTTGCAAGCAGAACCTCCCTACAATCAGCAAAAAAAGGGTTTTTCCCCACACTTTACCAATCACTGTGTTTGGTGCACATTTACATTGTTCTTGGGGCTGAATTTTTCTTTTATATTTTCCACAACTTTTAACATCCTCAGGGTTTGTGTGTGAGGCAAAGCAATGCTCATGCCCATTTCCTGAGGCCACAAGGTCTTGTTTTCCTCAGGCTGCCGGGTTAAACAGCAGATCAAGTTCATTTAACACCACCTTTCCCACTGCCTGCTTCCAGGCCAGCCTGTGGGAACACTCCCCACATCAGGCATTTCTGAGCTGGTGTAAAGCATGCAAGAGATACATTCCACTCATTAGGATTCTTCAAGCCAGATTAAGATCTCGGCTAACTTCGTGTACAGTCACCAAGTTATTCCAGGGGAACCAAAGTTTCACGTTTCTGAGCCTTCTCAGCATGAAAACCTAAAGAATTTATGACAAGTAAACCAACCCCTGTGACTGTTCCTGTTTCTAACAAGCAGCACTTTCAATTCTGTTTTATTATAAACTGGTGTCTGATAATTTTAAGACAGTAAATTTCTGTCTTAAATTTTCTGCAGTGAGTTTCTGCACTGTCTCATGAAGTTTGTGCTTGTTTTCCCTCACATTCTTATGGTCACTCTTATACCATCCAACTTAACACCATACTATAAGTTTTCATGAAAGTTCAGATTCTAGGAGAAAATCACTAATAATTTTGAACACAATTAAATCACTAAACATTTTAAAATCACTAATCACTAATCATTTTAAACACTATTATTTTAGCACCAAAAACCAGATGGGAAACTAATCATACTACCCTTACAACAAATTAATGTTGAAATAAAACATCCTAAAATCTCTGGGAAAAGCATCCAAGTTACAGAATATGAATTACTGTTGTCACTAGACATGCTGAGAAGGTAAATTAAACTGATTACCAAGATACCAGAAATAAACCATAAATATATGTGGCATAAAATATGAATCTTACTGGGTATTAACTGTAATTTCTGGAGCATTACACACAAATGACACTGCACAGGCAAATGCATATTAACAGCTCCATCTGATTTATGGTGGAAAGTATGTTAATTAATTCAGCAGAAAGAGCTCCAATGATCAAAGATAAAAGTGTGTTTAAATTGTTCCACATAACTTTTTATCTTCCAAAGTTGGGCTTTGAAAATGTTTTTCATTAGGACTGCTGGGAAGAGACACAGCTGCTAATGGAGACACAGGTAATAGATTTAAAAGCATAAAACCAAATCCTGTTCCATGAATACAGAGAGGTGGGAAGGAACAAAGGCAAAAGCAGAGTCATGAGGCATTAACAGAGGGAAGAACCTTTGTTCCACTCTGCAAGCAGCCCATAAAGTGCTGCTCAACAGGGCAGAGCATTCTGGGAGAAATGCCAGCTGATTTCAGGTTGGGAGGAATTGCTCCCTGACTGTGACAGCAGTGACAGGAACAATGGGGCACAGGATGCAGGTCACCTTTCCCTGCCTGTCCCTCCTGTCCAACATTTCCACTGGCACAGACCACAGGGAGGAAGATATTCCCTATGTTCTGTGCAGAGCTAACCACCAAAATGCAGGGAATTCGTGCCCTGCTCCAGACCAGCAGGTGAGAAAGGGATGCCCCAAACTGCTTTTAAATCAGTACCACAATCAACTATTTAGACCTTGCCTCTCTTTTGCTTCTTCTTCTCCTCTTCTTCTCCTCCTCCCACATTTCCTTGGCCTTCTCCAACCCCAGCTTCCTGTTTAGGTGAATTTTCTT